CCCAAGAGCTCTAGTGGCTTAGTGGTGAGGAGTTGTACTAGCAACAAAAAGATGCATGGTTCAAATCCACCAGCTGCCTCTCAGGAGAAGGATGGGCAGTCTCCTCCCGTAGAATTTACAGCCTCTGAAAACCCACCAGAGGGTGGGCCAATGAGCCGATCCGGACTCGACAGTACACGGTGACAAGGGACGTGATGGTGAACCGGTGTGAGGACCCGGCCAGGGCAGCCGATTCCAGGCTGGACGAGAACCAGGCCCCACAGGAGCCATGGTGTCTGGTCAGCTGGGACGAGCTGCTCTCAGAGACCTCAGAGCTCACGGAGGCCCGTGAACGGCACCTAGACGCAGACACGACCTGTGCAGGAACGATGCAAAGCAGCGCGCTCTGCAAACCTCCCCTCGCGTCACAGGACGACACTGCAGAGCCGGGGGCCGGCAGCCCGGGCACCAGGGGACAGTCGGAGTGTCAAACGGTGGTTCAGGCAGGAGACTCAAGCCGGTTCTTCAAAGGGCTGCCTCTTCTGTGAGACCGCTTCTGAAGCCCCTGCCGTCTCATGAGGCCAAAAGTGCATGCACCGACGTGTCTATGCACCCCGCCCCCCACGTCCTTATAACGAAGCTGCCATGATTTAAAGGTAAGGTTAGCATCTGGGCCTCATGACTGTCTCGGACTCCAGGGCTGAAACGCTGTTCCCAGCACGTCCTCTCGGGGCTGACGTCAGAGTACCCCACATCCTGTGTGGTCAGACATGAGTCATAAAGGCCATTCTGACGCACAGCAGGCTGTGCGGGCCAGGACTCGTGACAAGAGTCCTCATTTCTATCTTTCCCATAAAGTGTAGAAATGCTGTTACTTTTCAAAAGTGGACCACGGGGACACTGACCGCTCGGCCTCTCCTTTAGCAGCGCAGCACACCGTCCGGCGGCCGCTCTCCGGAGCGACGAATCCCACTTGAGGCCGCCGCTAACAGAAACAGAGTGCTGAAGCCTTAACAATCACTCTTTAAACCAAATCTCAATGCCTTATATATCATACAGTCACCTTCAACCAAAGCAATCTGCAATTGCATTTTATAAAGTATTCTGTTTTAAAAGAATGTCTCTTTTTATAGCAGATGAAGTACTTTTGCCCAGTGTTACGGAACAGCATCACTGTTGTCCTCAGATGTTGAGTTGACTGTGACTCACAGCAACCCTACTAACAGATCTGACCCCTGCTCTGTCCTGAACCATCCTCACCACCTCTGGTATGCTTGAGTCCATTGTTACAGTCATCACAACTCAAAGGCATCAATCTTAATTGTCTTCCTTATTTATTGTCCAACATAGAAAACAACAAAAAGGACCATGGCTTGGATCAGGTACACCTTAGTCTTTAAACTGACATCATTGCTCTTTAAGCAATTTGGATGTCTTTAACACATACCCATAGCATATTAAGGAGCTGAAAATCTTTTCGTATTTACAAATCTATTGCAGAATTAGAGCTCAAGGAGACACGATTAAAATGGATTTGCTGATACAAACACTCCTGGCCACATTTCTGATCAATATTAGCACTAGAAGTAGAAATACATTCCAAAACCTAAAACACTGTTCAGGAAAAGACTACCTGAAAAATGACAGCCATCTGAGCACATTGCACTTTTAAGAACCAATATAAGGAATCACCAAATTGACAACAGCAGCTCTCAAAAGATCAGGCAGGAAACATCAAGGACAGTTAGTGTATGTTAATGAGGAAGGAACAATTTGGAAAAAGGTGGGGGAGTGTGAAAGCTTGCATAACCCCAAGTCTGTAACCAATGCCACAAATACACACGCAGAAATTGCCGACCTGGTACATGCTCTGCATAAAATCAATATGTGAAGGAAAAATCTATCTTGAATGAAATATCACATATAAAATGCCAGTCATATGTGCGCAAGAAAAAAAATAGTTTTTCACCCTGTCTTGGTTAGAGTCAGACACGGAGATATATACATACATTTAAACTACTATAGGCATACTTATTATGTATTAAGGCTGTGTGTGTGTGTGTGTGAGATCTCAATATACAAAAGTGTTTAGTGCACACGTCATTTTGAAGACAAAACACTTAAGAGAAGCCAGCCGTGCCTTTGGGCTGAAAATGATGTACCAGGGATGCAGGCTTCTGGGAGAACTCCGTGTTCCAAGTCCCGGTCTTAGCTTCCAGGGCAGGTTCTGGATGTTATGCCAATTTGCTTTGGGGGAGGAGGGAAAAAAAAAAAGGCAAACGGTAACAAGAACCAAACCCCAAAGCTACAATGTAATGAGAAGGCTTCTTACTGTTAAATCTTCCCTTTTCGAAAAAGCAACCACACAGCCAGAGGAGTGAGTCAGCTGCTGGTCCTCTCTCTGCCAAGGGCCGTTAAAGTTACTGCTGCGTAATGTAAACAGAGTGGAGATTCACCACTGCCCTGACACAGGGAATCCAAAACTCATAACTCCACCAGCTAACGCTCATTTACCAGCTACGTGGGTTAACAGCTGTGTTTTAAAATATCCCCATTAAAAGAAAATCAACTGACTAGGGGGAAAAAAGTAAAGGAAGGCTGTTCCACTGAAATTCAAACCAAAAATAGGTAATAGCACCCTCACTTTCTCCCCCAGTAGCTTGTATGACTGTCATTTTCCAAGGAAAAAATTATTATTCGGCCTTTAACAACTCACGGCCAAATTATTTGAGGGAGAGTTCTAATCATTGTTACCTACGAGCTAACTCTGGGAAGCAGGATTGTGTAAGGACCCACAGGGAGCTGAGATATCCAACCCACAGGCCTTGAGCTGACTGCAATGCCCAGCAGCCTTACATCCTGGACAGGGTGGAACGGCCCTGTGGGGTTTCAGAGGCTGTCTATCTGTATCTTCACAGGAACCTTACCTTTATCCAGAGAAACAGGAGAGACTGGTGTTGGGTTTGAACCACTGAACTAGTCTCTACGAAACACTAGATACTTTTTGGCATGAGTGGGAACCAACTTTTGAAGAGTTTTGCACACATTATTCTCATAATCAGTTTGGGATTATAACAATCCTCTTATCCAGAGAGGAGGCCCAGGGGTGCAGTTAACATGTCCAGCGGCTAACCAAAAAGGTTGGATGTTCAAGTCCATCCAGAGATACATCAGAAGAAAAGGGTGACCTACTCCCAAAAGATCAGAGATTGAAAGACTGAGGGAGCACTGGTCTACACTGAGGTGCAGGCAGTGTCCACAAGTCAATCAACTCAAGGTCAAGGTCTTGCTGTGGAGGCGAGGAAATCCAGAGGAAACAAAACTCAGCCTCAAGCCTCTGCTCTTCCTGTCTCCCCACTACTGTCTTGGCAAGATTTATGTTTCTGAACTTTGTGATTTGAAAAACTCCTCACACTAACTCTTCCCGCCCGCCCAGCCCCAAAAAAATGCATACAAGCTCATTAAGGGGGGGAGGGGGAAATAAATCTATATACAGATTTTTTAAAAAAAAGTCTTACACAAAGGCAGCAAGCAGTAACACAGCCAACACATCTCCGTAACAGTAACGACCAGATGAGTGATACATAGTTAGGTACTGTTGAGTCAAGCACAACTCATAGCGACTCTGTGGGCAAAAGATCTAAAAACCCTGTTCTGTAACGACCGTCGTTTCTCTAATGTTCACAAAGGCCTGTTGTTGAAGAAGTGGATGCCAACCCTGCTTTCAAGCCTGTCTTAATCCGGGAGCTCTACGAGACTCAGTCCACCGCACGTAAAGCGTTTGAAACCCCAGTGGCACAGCGTTCAGGGTCACAGCAACCTCAAGTTTTGACGTTGTGCGGCCACTTTTTCACTTAGAAGGGCGCGCCCAGGAGGCCGTTCCATTCCAGATCAGGCCAACGGCTTCAGTGTTCCCAAGATGAAGACTCTTTAGAAATCCCTTTTCAGTCAGGAAGACCTATGACCACACGAGGCCATATGAGCATCTGGCCAGGACTCCAGGAGGCAAACAACACACAGGTCTATGTTGTTGTCGGTGGTGGTGGTGGTGGTGGCTATCAAGTTAGGTTTTCAGAGGCAGCCAACTGCAAGGATGAAGAGTACCCATCTTTCTCCCAAGGAGCAGCTGGTGGATTCGAACTGTGTGCCTTTGTGTTATATGCCTTTGCTCTGGTACCACAGACCCTCTCACCTCCTCACCTAGGGAGTCATTCACACTTAGAACCAATCACATGAGATCAAAACAAATAAGGCAATGTCCCCAGGGCAGCAAGAGGAAGACAGCAGGCTTCAGGAAGACTCCAAGAGTGCTCAGAGGAAATGCAAAAAGTACAGTATCAGTGTGGGTATTGCAATTCATGCTGGAAAAGTGTGTACAAGACAGGTTGAGTGAAAGGCCAGTCCGCGTTGTAAGCTTTCAGGCAATATATTAAAAATAAATTAAAAAAATAAATAAAGAGAGGTGTTGGGGAGTGCAGGAGGAGAAGGGGGCAGCAGTGGAAGGTGGGACGGCAGGTCCAACCATCCCTTGCATTATTACAAGGCCTCCTTCAAGAGCACATTGTCTGTGTGGTGTGCCCCATGCATCCTGGAAATGTCCCTTACAGCACTTTCACACTGAAGTTAGTGTGCAGACTCCGAGGAGCTCTCCTGGCCCTGGGGGTCAAGGCATCCAGCCACTAGCCAGAAGGTCAGCACTTGGAACCGACCAGCCCCGGGTGGAAAGCGCTCGCAGAGTGCCAGCCTGGAAAGCCCATGAGGGTGCTCTGTTTTGCCCCTCAGGACCGACTGATTTGACAGCGGGTTTGCATTCCACCAGGCGGAGAAGGTTTCCCTCCACCTCCCAGTCCCCGGCTTGGGGTGCAGTGCTGGAGAGGATCTGAAGGGAGAGAGACTCTGCCCCAAAGGACTCCATTCTACGTGTAAGTAAACGAGGGCGAGGTTCCCCAAATCTCCTGTTTCCGGAGTGAGAGGCGGGTGGGGCTCCCCTGTTCTTCATCCTGGACATTTGTCATCTCTATGTCCTCTCCTGCCCAGCCCTCACGAGCACGGGGCGGTGTCTGCAGTCACAGAGGGGTAGGGGAGTGAGGTGGGTGTCCACAGTGCAGGCCTTCTCTGAGGGATATGGATGGTGGGATGGGCTGCGGGGTGAAGGATGGTGGGGTGGGGTGCAGGGTGGTAAAGTGTGCTGGGCGGGTGATGGTGGGATGGGGTGCGGGGCTGGTGATGGTGGGGTGGGGTGCGAGGGTTAGGGATGGTGGAATGGGGTGCAGAGTGGGGATGGGGTGCGGGGTGGGTGATGGTGGGGTGCGGGGTGGGAAATGGTGTGTGGGGTGATGGTGGGGTGGGATGCGGGATGCGGGGTGGGGTGATGCGGGGCGGGTCTGACAGCGGCGCAGACCACGCCCACGTCCCCCCGCGCTGCGGGGACGCGGGGACCCCGGCGAGCAAGCCTGCGCGCGGATTTCATCAGCCTGCACCGACGGCCGCCGCCGCTAGGGTCCCGCAGGGGACCGCGCTCCACGCTGCTCATTCAGACCATCCCCGCGCTCCGCATCCGCACAGCGAGGCCGATCGCTCCCGCCGGCGTCCCCCGTCCCCTCCCTGCCCCCGAGACCCGGCGCGCCCCCAGTCCCGGGGAGATCGCCCGCTCCGGAGGGCAGGCGCCCGCTCCCAGCCCACCGCACTCGGCGAGCATCCCCGCCGCGGTGCACTGCCGCCTCGGCTGCCACGTCGCCCGTCACATCCACCGCTCTCGGCGGCCACCACCGCCCGGGGTGAGTCTCGGGAATGACCCTCGCCGCCCTCCACCTTCCGCCCTCTCCGTTTCCGCCCGGTTCGGGCGCCTTGGCCCCCTTACCGCACTGCCGAAAGGTGGACAAAGAGCGGGCTGGGGCAGCAGCGTCGTACGGGACGGAAGAGCCGGGTAGCGAGCGTGGCCACGAGAAAAGGCGATGCCATGTCCGGGTACCGGTGCCTACCGCCGGGAGGGAAGAGCGCGCGCGGGTCGCGAATTTATACCGGGACCGCATGGCGGGCCCCGCCCCCTGCCAGTACTCATTGGCTGTTGCAACAGTTCATTAGCTGTCCGCTTGGCCTGCTCTAACTAAAGCAGCCAATCAGCTGTCTTTATTTAACGTAGGCGCACTACAGTAAGGGGTCGCTCATGATTGGAGGAAGTGGTGCCGGAGCAAAGCCCTGGAAGGCCCGAACACGATGACCGTCGGCTGTGATTGGATGAGGGAGGCAAGCCCCTGCCTGACGCAGCTGGAAGTGTCACGGAAGCCAGGCCACCACCGCCGAGATTTCATTCATTCATTCATCGAACACTTATCCAAGCGCCTGCTCGGAATACCAACTAATAAATGCGGAGGAATGATGGGGATAGAAAACCACCACTTTTCATAGTAACAACTGATTCAGGCAAGAATTAACAATGTGCCAAAATAACCGGGCGAAAGTTCGATGAGGAAGAGGATATTTACATATAAGGTTACCACATTTTCTTTTTCTTCCTGGTTTATTACTTATACTGAATTACAAAAAATGACCAGACATAGTTTGATGTAGCAAATAAAGATAGAGGATGCGCAGTTAAAACGGAATTTACGATAATAATTTGGGAAGTCATCCTAAAAATATATGTTGTTGCTGTTGTTGTTGTTATGTGCCATCGAGTCGTTTGCGACTCATAGCGACCCTATGTCAACAGCCCTAAACTCTGTTCTGTCCTGTGCCAATCTCATTGTCTCCGACACACTCATCCCGATTACCCCAGTCACCGAATCAATTCATCTCCTAGAGGGCCTTCCCTTCCTGCACCTGCCCTCCACCCTCCCAAGCATGATGTCCTTCTCCAAGAAATGGTCTCTCCTTACAACATGACCAAAGTATGTGAGACAAGCCTCAGAATCCTTGCCTCCAAGGAGCAGCCTGGTTTAACCCTCTCTAGGACGAATCTGTTTGTTTTCTTAGCAGTCCATGGTACCCTCAATACTCTTCTCCAACATCAGAGCTCAAAGGCATCACTTCTCCTTCTATCCTCCCTAGTCATTGTCCAACTCTCTGACGCATAACAAGTGGTTGCAAAGACCATGGCCTGTATCAGACACACCTTAGTCTCTAGAGAGACACCATTGCTCTTCAGTACTTTAGAGAGGTCCCTAATAGCAGACTTTGCCATCACAATATGTCTTTTAATTTCGTTGCTGCTGGTGCGAAGAGTGTTGGTTGTGGAGCCCAGCAGACTAAAGCTGTGAACAATCTCAATCTTTTCACCATCCATCCTGATGCTCTTTATTTATTACCTTGTTTTTGTTGTGTATACCTTTGAGTAGCACCGATCCATAGCTGATTCCTCTGGCGGGTTTTCAGAGGTAGTTAATCACTCGAATGGAGATTGCGTATCCTTCCCCCCAGCGGAGCAGCCAGTGGGATTCTTCAGGATTGCAGCGCATCTTCTAGACCACCACAGCTCCCTATGTATTATCTTTATTGATCTGAAATTGAAATTCAACCGAAAATCTTTTCTTTTATCTAGCAATTGTAATTATATAGTAAGCATTTCGTGTGCCATTTATTTGCAGCAGGCAAAGTTGTGTTATCTGTCTGCATAGCACAAATTGTTGATGAGTCTTCCTCCAATCCTGATGCCATATCTTTTTCCATATGGCCCAACGTCTTGGATTCGTTGCTCAGCACACAGATTGTATAGGGGTAGGGTTGGGACACAACTCCGGTGCGCAGCTTTTCTGATTTTAAACCATGCATTATCCCTTTTTCTACCAAGATAACTGCTTCTTGGTTTATAGTTTGTGCATGAGCACAATTAAGAATTCTGGAATTCCCATTCCTCTCAATAGTATCCATAATTTAGTATGTCCCAAACAGTCATATACCTTCGTACAGTCAATAAAACACAACTAAATATCTCTCTCTGGTATTCTCTTTCAGCAATAATCTCCATCTTGCCATGACTTCTGGATCCTGCCTGAATGTCTGGAAGTTCCCTGTTGATGTACTGCTCCAGACTTAAGTAATCTTTAGCAAGATTTTACTTTCATGTGATAATTGTTTAATAATTTATGCATTCTTTTGGATAACTTCTTTTTTTATGGAATGAACCCAAATATATTTCTCTTCCAGAAGAGTGGTCAGGTCACTGTCTTCCAAATTCTTAGCATAGTTGAATGAGTGCATCCAGGGCCTCATTGATTTATTTAAATGCCAATATTCTATCAGCTTCTAGACCCTTCTTTTTGCCAATGCCTTCAGTGCAACCTGGGATTTTTTTTCTTCTGTACCATTGGTTCTTAGTTGTTTGCAACTTCCTGAAATGGTTCAGGGTTGATCAATTCTTTTTGATACATTGACTATGGATTCCTCCCACCTTCTTTTGATGCTTCCTGCATCATTCAAGATTTTGCCCATAGACTCACTCAGTATTGCAACTCAAGGTTTGAATTTATTTTTTTCAGTTCTTTAAACTTGAGAATTGATGAATGTATTCTTCCTTTTTGGTTTTATAACTCTCTGTCTTTGCACATATTGTTATAGTACTTTGCTTCCCAAGCTGTCTTTTAAATCTGTTCAGCTCTCTTCATCATTTCCTCCTGAGCTTCTCTCAAGATTTACAATAAGTTTGAATCTCTTCTAACATGGATTTTGGTCCTTTTCTTTCTCCCCTTTCTTTTTAATGACCTTTTGCTTTCTCCATAGATAATGTCTCTAATGTCATCCTACTACTCCTCTAGGTTTTGGTCACTAATGTTCAATGCTTCAAATCTATTTTTGAGATGGCTTCTAAATTAAGATGACGTATACTTAAGGTTGTATTATTGTTCTCTTAGACTTGGTTTCATTTTCTTCATCTTAAATTTTAATTTGCATATGGGCAATTAATGAACTCTTCTGTAGTTACTCCTGGCCTTATTCTCACCGATGATACTGAGCATCTCCTCTCTTTCTCGCTACATACATAGTCAATTTTATTTCTACAGATTCCATCTGGTGAGTTCCAAGTGTAACATTGCTGTTTATGTTGTTTTTTTAAAAAGTATTTGCAGTGAATAAGTCATTGATCAGACAATATTCTTTCATGTGTCCTCTGGCCTCATTTCTACCACCAAGGCCATATTCTCCAATACCAATTCTTTGCTTCCAACTTTTGGTTCCAATATCTCGTTATTGTTAATGCATTTTTAGTTCAGGTTAGATCAGTATCCGACTGCAGAAATGGATAGAAATTTTCATCCTTGGTTTTAGTGGCTAGTGGGTAAATGTGAATGATCATTATACTAACACGCCTTATTGTAAATGTATGGATAGTGTCCTATCACTGACAGTGTCATACTTGAGGACAGACCTTGAAATGTCCTTGTGGATGATGAATGTGACACTATTCCTCTTTAATTTGTCTTTCTCAGCTTAGCAGACCATGACTGTCTGATTCAAAATAGCTAATAGAAGTCCACTTCAGTCACAAAAGGCTAGGATGTTGATTTTTGTGTTCCAATTAATTTTATCATTATTCATTTTAATTTTTTAAAATTTTTTAAATTTTATTGTTTTTGTGTGAGTGTACCGTCAAATCAGATCTGACTGGTACAGGAGGAGATTATCCCTCCTTCCTTGGCAGAGCATCTGGTGGATTCGAACTGTGCACCTCTGGGATTGTAGTTGCAGCTCCTTCATTATTCATTTTAATGAATGTTTACAGAGACTTATGGTTTCCATTCATTCACTGTTGCATTTTTCTCCCTGCCCACCCCTCCCCGTCAATTCGCTCTTCTCTTTGAAAAGTAAAAGGAAAATTCTTTCATTGTTATACAATCCCTCCCCCCAAGTCCACTCCACTATGCAGCCTTCGTTCTGGACTCCTGTCATGACAATAATACCTAACCATATATCACTTCTAAACCGTTCTCTCCCTCATCTGTTTCAAAGCAGTATACATTATTTATCTCATCTTTCTCAGTCTCCCCCCAACCCTGATGTCAGTCCCATTTTACAACAGTGGCACTATGCAATATTTGTCCTTTTGTGCTGAGATATTTCACTCAGCATAATGTCCTCCAGGGTCACCCACTTTGTATAATATTTCATGAATTCTTTGTTTTTCAATGCAGCATAGTATTCCATTGTGTGAATATACCACAGCTTCTCTAGCCATTCGTTTGTTGATGGACACTTAGGTTGTTTCCAACTCTTTGCTATTGCAAACAAAGCTGCGATAAACATGGGTGTGCATGTATCTGCTTGGGTGGTGGTTATGGTGTCTTTAGGGTATATTCCCAGTAATGGAATTGCTGGGAAAAATGGTATTTCTATTTGCAACTTTTTGAGAAAGAGCCATACAGTCTTCCAGAGTGGTTGTACCATTTTACACTCCCACCAACAGTGAATAAGGGTTCCAGCGTCTCCGCAACCTCACCACCATTTGTTTGCTACTCTGTTAAATTTTGCTATTCTGACTGGGGTGCGACGGTATCTCATAGTTGTTTTGAGATCCATTTAATTTTTTACAACTTCCAGTTTTCCTTGATTCATACTCCCTGCATTCCATCTACATTCTGGTTATTAACGAGTGTTTGCAGCTGTTTCGCCTGTGAATTGTGCCGCATCAGCATTTGGCTGAAAGCTTGACTCCATCCCTGTCATTCAGGCTGACTTTATTTGAGGAGGTGCCTCTTTACCACCCAGATTCGAACGTGAGAGCTCCTCTTCTAGCAGTCTCTCCGACAGTGTTCTGTGGCTGTTCCCAGGATTTTCAGTCCTATTAACTTCAGAAGTGGCTGGCCAGTCCTGCTTCTTGGTCTTACTGTGGAAGCTCCACTGAAACCTGTCCACCACAGGGTGACCCTCCTGGTGGTGTTGGGTCCCGGCTTCCAGCATCACCATAATTCATCACCTGGATCCGAGGACCCAGTCGCAGAGCAGCAAGGGCCCTGGGAGGGTCAGTT